TTGGCCCTCGCAATTAATGACTGTACTGCACCCTCCGGCATGGCCTGAATACATCTAATATTTTTGCAGGGCTTGTCCTCCTGCGTTTGTGGATCCTGTGGGGTAGGTCCCCTCCACTTTCATTCCATTTATGTAGCTTATTCCGCGAAGACCGCAATCGTACATTAATACTCTGCACCCTTTTCATCTTCATCGCCTCAAATACGACTGTCTTCGTCTTAACGATCTTCTCCTTCACGTCCGTGATACGTATGACCATTTTTCGTCCAGCGAAGGTAGCACTCAAATGGGAGCTGGCAGCGAATTCGGTCTTCATTCCACTCCTCGAGATCTGTGCACCGGATAATCCGTTTGTCACAACCCACTTTCGTGTCCTTTGGTTGCCAGAGGTACGGCGTTCAGATCACTGCCAAAACGCTGAATGCATATCCACCGTAGGTGTTATTCCAGCTCATGATGGTTTGCGCCTTGGGGTGGAAGATCCATCTGCACCCACAAACATTCAATGCCCTGCTGCGTGACGGATATCTTTATTTCCTTGTGCGGCGCAACCCCAGTCTTTTGCTTTCGATACTAACCGATACATGATCGCAGTGTTTGTTCGGCAAGTATCGTTCGGGTGAAACAACAATGCCATTGCTAACAACCAAATCAGTGATCGATCTAGTGAACCAGATAGTCGTTTTTGTCGTTCGGGTGCGCACCTCCAAGTTCTAAGATATAACCCTTGCTCATGAACGTGCTACAGCCCACCCTTTTGTTCCTCACGGTCTTGTACGTGACTCCCAATCCACTTCAAATGAGCTGCCAAGTTTTGACGATACTGCAGTTTCATGTGGTGTTTCACGACGACTGCGACATGCCGCATGATCCTCAGTCTTCGGGGTTCTTCATATCGCGCGCAAGATATTGAGCCATCGGAAGATTCAGGTACTGAGTGCCACTCCACCGCACACCTTGAGCTTTCGGAACGCCACCAATCGTCCTCAACAACAAGGGTTGTGGAGACACCGACGCGCGAACGATTGATTGACAGGAGGTCTGGACAATACCCATCATGAAGAACGGCCAATCATAAACTGAACTAATGATTTGTAAATGTAACATGTTACATGTATACTAGTAGTAGTGGCCGAAAACTCGCTTTGCCATTCGAGGAGGATTTGCCTCCGTGTCATGAGGGTTCTCGTTCTTTTTCGATGGGGGGGGAGAAGAAGGTAACTTATCAATGGCGCAAGCTAGTTCTACTCTTTATAAAATTACGCCTGTCCGAAGCCTTTAAACTTCGCTCGGCCGTTTCCGACGGCTCTCGAGGCCCGTTTCTCGACTCAGACTGACTCTGGTCAACCGAGGCGAAGTGTCGGGGCGCGCTCTTGTTTAGTCTAATGGTAACTACGCTATAAACTAGAGACAGTACTAAAACTATACTTATATTCCGGTGTACAACCCAATCTGCGGTTAGGTTCGCATGTGGGTATTGGAGAGATCAGGCGGACTCGCTCCCTCGTGGTCGCGGCTTGTATATCCGAGTTCGACCACAGATCCGGTGGGTTTAATCGCAAACCTGGAAGTCTTGTCCGTTTCCGAATCCTCATCCATTGTGATCCTCACAGCAACAGTGCTTCGGTCGCCAGACTACGAACACAGTGAGGAGATAGATGAATAGCACATGGAACGCGACTGACGGGACGGAAATTTAGGGAATCCGTGAAACCGTAAGTGCCTTGCAGGTCCTGGCGCAGGGACTCTCGGCCGTTGAGAGTCTGGCGGGAGGAAATGGGACGAGAGGTCATTGAGTGAGTTGAAATGGGGAAGACGTACCGATAGCAAAGTGCTCCTAGAGAGCAAATCTCAGTCGGAGGAGAAGGAAGTGAAGTAAGTGATCGGGACTGACGTATAAATGCGGCCCATGGGCTGGGAAAACATGAGATGGAAGCCGGTGGTAGACAACTTCGTCTAGAAAGTTTAAATTCGACTGGTGGGCATCATTGGGGGGCAGATGGATACTTACGAAAGTAATCAAGACCATGATCTGACAGAACAAGTCAGCACAACAATGGATGAGTTGTGAGTTGAGAGCATACCGAAAAGAAGGTTGCGAATGCCGCACTTTCTAGCGTAGACCGAATGAGACGGCCAACGACAGTGTCCGATTCTGAATACGGAAATTCGGAGAAGCGGAATGAACATAGAAAAAAGACTGACTGATATGACCAGTACGATTTTGGTTGAGATAATAGATAAGAAATACTCTGAAGGCGACTGGTCAATAAACTCAAATAATTTAACAAGGGCCGTACGTTAGAGAGAAGTCATTGGCGACCGTCACGGCAATCCAGCTGTCAACCACGGGGATCAAGCGGGCTCCCTCCTCAAACCTAGGGTAAGGTAAGGTAAGCCACTTATACGCTGAAATGATGTTTCCTACGTCAATCTAAAGGCAAGCAGGCTGGTCGCCGCGGCAATGGCACCCTGTAAGTCTGGTGTCAGCAAAGGCAGTCAACCACGGAGAAAATATTGTACTGACGTGTACAAGGGTAAGGAATACTAGTAGAGCAAATAGGCCGCGAGAGCTTGACAATGATAATACTCGATATGCCATAAATATCTGAACAGGACAGGCCGATCTGAACAGTAGACATTTGTGAGACTGAATCGATGGAATGATTGATTCCCTTACAGTGCGGTAAGGAGGGGTATTGCGGACAATGGCCATGGTGCGCCTTGCAAAAATGCGGGGTTGAAATAATTATCAACCAGGTAGAGCCACACATAATAAATCGAAGTCGCGGTAGAAACAGTACTGATGATAAATTCATAGACGACGAGAGCGCTGTGGGACATTAGACATCTCCAAGATTACATAGAGCATAGCGACGAACCGAAGGCTAGTTGAATCTTCTAGTCGACGCTTTGACCCATAGTATATCGTGAACTGTGACGAGCATACGCCGAATAAGTAAGTGCTGATCTAATTGAAAACAATTTAATCGCCGAACGAGTGTCAATGAAATACTCACAATGGTGCCGATAAATATAGGCCCAAGCAAAAGTTTAATGGCCAAGGGAGTTACGGACATTGGAAGATAGGGAAAGCGCGGTCAGAGTGTTCAATGCATTTACTTATAATGACGGTAGCCACTGCTGGCACAGACGTCGGCAAGCTCGGTGAGAGAACCCACGATAGAATAGGATAAGTATACACTGCGGTGATCCGTTTGTAATACCATGGGTAAAACCTGGTAAAACGGCCTCTCCGCAGTGATAGAATATGTACGTATGCGCAACAAGAGACGTCTCAGATGTTGCCCAGTTTTAATAGTGGAGTTCTGACTCTTGAGTCTCGTCAAGCTTTGCTGCACAAAGTAGTGGCTACAGTTGGAAGAATATTAATGGCCTGGTATCACTGCCATGGCAGTTCAAGTTGAAGTTGCGGACTGTTGCGGATCTGCCAGAAAATGCCTGTGACTATGATGCCGTCACAATTGCGTTGTCACAGGCCCTCGGCATATACGGTTGTATGTCCGATCCTGATGCGGACGGATTGGCCCAAAAAATAGCCTCTAAGTCCAATCAGAATGCGGACATTTTTGCACAAAAAAACGGCCAACTCCGATCCAAACGACTGACGGGATGAGGTGGTTGGGCGCAAAGTCCGATCCTTATGCGTACGTTTCACCTGCAAAACACCCAATATCCTACCCAAATTCTGCCTCCAAAGGGGGTGCACGGCCGTGCTAAGAAAAATATCATCTCAACCCTTGGTTTTCGCTCGACTGGATCCCGAAATGAGACCTCTCATGTCTGTAGGTCGGATCCTAAGTGCTGACGGACGACGAAAAAAATTGACCTACCTGATCACAATGCGTACAGATTTGCTGGCAAAAGTCATGTACGGAAATGGCCAAAATCCGCAAAAATGGATCGGACATGTAACCGCATATGCCGAGGGCCTGTTGTCACCCATGCTCACTCTTAAGGCTAAGTACATTGCGCCGGCAGATTTTTTATGTCGTGTCTGGACAAGCGATGGTCAGACCTCAGTCCGGAGTGCAGGAGCTCTTTGACTTAGACGGCGCCGGAACCGCGCGCGCCAGCACGAAATGGCTCGAACGAAACGGATACGAATATCCTGCTAAGTAGAGAAAAGCTACCCTTGTACCGGCTGAAGATTTCGTTCGACCATCAACTGCGTTATTCGACTATGCTGTTCTGCATCGAATTTTACGATTGCCTGCCCTTTCTTGCCCTTTCCACCGGAGTTGATGGCGACGAAGCCGATATTTCCTTGAGGATGGCACGAAAGACAGCATTTTCGGGGCCATGGGTTAACTTTGTCCTAGCGCGGGCAGACTGGCATGACTCCGCACAGTGAAGGCTGCACGAAGGCGTTCAGATGCGCCCTCGTTTTCCACAATGTTACAGTCCTGCGTGGTGACCTCGCGACCTCCGGGAACATCCTTCCCTGAATTTTCCTCCACGTTCTTCGCGGAAGAGTACCACAAGACCGACTGCACCTGGAAAAACACGAGAATAATGGGTGTGTAATATTCGGCTCTTCGTGTCCCAATTTTATAACCACTGTTGGACTATGGCGTACGGACAACAGAACCGCTGCCGAGCGAAAGTTCATTTACTTGCGTTGGTACATTGCGCGGTTCCGGCGTTCTTCTTGCTGTACCTAATATTTTTTCTGGCTGAAGTTAATTAGCATGCCGGTTTGGTGATCTGCAATTTGGCCTCGATTCACGCGGTCAACCCCAATCTCGTGTTGAAGACAATATATATGGTGCGCATGTTTGGGAGGTGGCTTCACCTGCCAGGATACATGACGAAGAAATAACATCAGGTTATTTAATTTTTCCCTCAGAAGAATTGAAAAAATCTTGATAATATGGAGACTGATAAATACAGAAGTTCACGAAGGTCATGGCAATGTAGTGAATTTTGTCTACGTAAAGGCCTCGACAATCATTTTCACAAAAAAAGGGAAAAAAGAACTCTCGACCTGGGAGTCGAACCCAGCTTTCGCGCGCACGCATTACAGAGATGACAGGCGCGTGTACTAAACCGATATACTAGTCGAGACATGTTGAAGGTTCACTTTGATGGTATATAGCCTGCTGAGCATCCAAATCTGATCTTTGGAATTCAATTGTTCCGCAAGCATCCCGAGATCTATGTTCCCGAGATCCTCCGTAAGTGTTCGATTTCTACTTCTGCATTAGTCTCGTAAACCAGGCTTTATACTGGGCGACCGAGAAGACAATCGTTCTCAGTGACCTATATAAACTTCTGCATAAAAATTCTTCCGACATTCTGATCCTAAGGCCTCAGTTCGCAAGCCTCATGTTACCCACATGCACATACCTTCGAAAGTCTTCGATACTCACTATCTGAGTGCTGACCAGACCCTTTGCCAGGACCGCGAGTAAACGGCCAACGTCGCCATCCGGGTATAAACGGGTGCGGTTCCTGTCTCTCACGGCTGCCGTTGGGAATGTATACTCGACGTGTCGGTCCGAGCTATTAGAGCGCCGGCAACAAGATTGGGCGCCAGTGTGAATTTGGGACGGGAGCGACGGGGACGTATGGGATTCAAAAGTCCGCGGAACGGAGTTCGCTGTGGATTTCAAAGCCTCTATGTGAAGAGAAGACTTGCAACTGCTGATTATTTTGTGAGGTTGTGAAGTTCAATTGCAACCTCCATGCAATTCAAGTCCGCTTTCAACAAATACCTTCAACTTGGACACAAAATTTTGCCCACATTTTCTTGTCTATCCTTGTCCTCGTCGTCGCGATGATCGGCCAGAACGAGCTGGAATGTCGCTAGATGACGAAAGAAAAGTCAGTTGACCAGCGTCGAAATAGAGTGACCAATCACAGGGCTTCATTTTGTATTGACCCGCCAAATCAATGTGATGTGGGGTAAGGGTATTTAAAGACCCGTTCATTATTCACCTCTCCACCTCTTTCTTTTCTACGACCACCATCCACCAACATGCCTTCTAAGCTAGTATTTAGTCTCGACGCCGAGTCCTCCCATTACACCACCTCTAATGGTGCTCCCGTCTCCGAGCCTTATGCCGCCCAGCGTCTTGGCCAACTGGGTCCTCTCCTGCTTCAAGACTTTCATCACATCGATTTGCTCAGTCATTTCGACCGGTGAGTGCCCCGATCTTATCGATCTCTCGAACGTGCTGACTTTTGTTTGATACAAGGGAGAGAATTCCCGAGCGTGTGGTAGGTTCAACTTGGTCCCGGTTCCGATTGTTTCTCACAGTGTTTGCTAGGTCCACGCCAAGGGTGCAGGAGCCCACGGATACTTCCAGGTCACCGAGGATCTGAGCGATCTCACCGACAACCCTCTTCTCTGCAGCAAAGGTAAAAAGGTCAGGGCAACCGTCCGCTTCTCGACTGTCGGTGGCGAGTCTGGTTCTGCCGACACCGCTCGTGATCCCCGTGGCTTTGCAATCAAGCTCAGGACAGATGAGGGTAACTGGGATTGGGTGTTTAATAACACTCCGGTCTTCTTCATCCGCGATCCCGCAAAGTTTCCCCACTTCATCCACACCCAGAAGCGTGACCCCCAGACTCACCTCAAGGATGCCGATATGTTCTGGGTGCGCATTTCGTCTGCAGAAACCAGATTAGCGCTCTGACGTCCGATGGAATCCAGGATTACCTCAGTCAGAACCCCGAATCCATCCACCAGATCATGATCCTCTTCAGCGACCGCGGTACCCCCGATGGCTACCACCGCATGCACGGCTACTCTGGCCACACTTACAAGTGGTTGAAGAAAGATGGGTCCTTCGTCTACACCCAGCTTCACTTGCGTGCAGAGGGTGGCTTCAGAACCCTCAACAATGCAGAGGCCGGTAAGCTCGCCGGTGAAAACCCAGACTATGGCATCTACAGTCTCTTCGAGACCATCGAAGCGGGCTACCCTCCAGCATGGAATGTCTTTGTCCAGACCATGACGCCAGAACAAGCTGAACAGTTCCGTTACAACATCCTCGATCTCACCAAGGTGTGGCCGCACGCCGAGTTCCCGCTGCGCCCCGTTGGCAGGCTCGTTCTCGACGAGAACGTGCAGAACTACTTTGCCGAGATCGAACAGGCCGCCTTCTCGCCGTCTCACCTTGTCCCGTACATTGAGCCGAGCGCGGACCCCGTCCTGCAGTCGCGTCTCTTCTCGTACCCCGACACCCACCGCCACCGCCTCGGCGTCAATTACCAGCAACTGCCCGTGAACGCATCCAGCGTCCAGGTCGCCAACTTCCAGCGCGACGGCGCCATGACCTTCATCTCGCAGGGCGCCCGCCCGAACTACCAGAGCTCGATCGTCCCGCTCCGTTACCTCGGCGCGCCCGGCACCCTCGAGGCCAGCGCGCGCGACTTCGAGCGCGAGGCCAAGCACGAGACGTTCGTCGGCGCGGCGTTCCGCGACCTCAGCTATGTCACCGAGCGTACGTGGCTTCTTAATCTGATTTGCGCCCCAAACTGATCCAAGGGGGCATCTGCAGTCGACTTTGAGCAGCCGCGCGCGCTGTGGAGCAAAGTGTGGAAAGACGCGCAGCGGGAGGCGTACGTGCAGAACGTCGCCGCGCACTTCAAGGACGTCAAGAGCACCGAGATCAGGGCGCGCCAGCGTACGTGCCCCCTTTCTGTTCGTCTTGGATTCAGCTAAACTTGAAGCAGTTTCCGTGTGGGCGGCCGTTGACCAGGATTTGTCTGACCGCATCGCCAAGGCCGTCGGCGCGCCGACCGTCAAGCCCCTCCAAGTCAAGCCCGCGAGTGAGGCCGTCAAGTTCCGCGCAAATTTGGGCGTGTACACTTCCAGCAAGGTGTAAGCGGCGAAGATGTGTGCGTCAAATTTCAATAAGGCTTTTGGATGGCGAGGTTGTAAAGAAAAACGCGACGGAGCAAGTTAAGCAAACTGTATGTACGAAAATCAGTGTAACACGAATTCATCCCACTTTTGAGTGACTTGGGGTGAGAGGGCAGAGAACATGAGCGTAAGGGAAAGAGGGCTAGCAACGTTTCATCAAAGGCGTATGATTGGATCAGAAACGTTGTCAGCTCTTGAAATTTTCAAAGAAAGAAAATGAGAACATGAAAGAAAATGAGACTTGCGAAGCCAAGACAAGATGAAGAGCAAATTAATATGTAAGAGTTGATCAAGGCCTCGAAAAACGGGACGACTCAAGGATCACTGCGGACGGGAAGAAATATTTTGAGAACCGATTGCATTTCTATAGCTATAATACACATGTGGTGATGCTGTTACTACAGGTCCGTGTTTGCAAGCAAGTCTAAGTGATTGAAGGAAAGAAAGCAAAGCCGAAAGCCTAGTGAAAGCGAAGAAGAGGTGGCTTAAAATTACTGGAAAGCGAAGAAGTTAGAATGCAAGTTCCACGGCGTTTAACTGGTCGAGGGTGTGGGCGCAACACAGCCTTGCGCTGTCTGCCCATCCAGTCCCGAGCAGCACGAGAGCGGTTGGGTGTCTTTTTCACTGGAAGAAAATGGTACATCAGCACGAGGAATAAAAATAAAAAGGAATATGAGAACTCACCAGCTCTCGATTCCGCGCCGCCTCGTCACGGGCGAGCATCCTGTGGCCTCGCCCTCGCCGTTCAGGGCGCTGCAGCAGTACGTCGTCTGCGATGCACACGTTGGCGCTGCCGGCGCGGCGCGCTTGTGCCCGTCCTTTTCGTCGTCGTCGCAGGGGGTCTCGGTGTGAGCCGCGGACGTAGAAGTGTGCGTGGAGGACGTTGTCGGAGTGTGCGCAGTCGAGGTGGTCGAGGTGGTGTGCGTAGTGGACGAGGACGTGTGTGTGTTGGACGAAGAGCTGCTGGATCGCGCCGTCGAAGACGATGTTACGGCGTGGCTCGACGAAGAGCTACTGGGGCGAGCGGATGATGACGGGCCGGCGCTGCTGGGCCGGGCGGTCGAGGAAGACGGTGCCGCGCTGCTGAGGTGGCTCGAAGAAGAGCTGGAGTGGGCTGCGGAGGATGAAGTCGCACTGCTGGAGTGAACACTCGACGAAGTTGTAGCACTACTGGAGTGTGTGCTGGAGGCGGAGCTCGAGTGTGGCGCAGATGAAGACGATGCCGCGCTGCTGGAACGAGCGGCCGAGCTGGAGCTGGAGTGCGCCGTCGACGAGGAGCTCGGGCGGGCAGAGGACGCGCTGCTGGAGTGTGCGCTAGAAGAGCTGGCATGTGCAGATGCAGAGCTACTAGGGTGCGCTGTGGACGAAGAAGGCGAGGAGGATGAAGCAGCGCTGGAGCGGACACTCGAGGAGCTGGCGTGTGTCGACGAAGAGCTTGAGCGAGCCGCAGAAGACGACGCGAAGCTGCTAGGATGAGCACTTGACGAGCTGGAGTGGACACTTGACGAGCTGGCGTGGGCCGACGAAGAGCTGGAACGAGCTGCAGAAGACGATGTCGCGCTGCTGGGGTGTGCACTCGAGGAGCCGGAGTGAGACGCGGAAGATGATGGAACACTGCTGAAGTGGGCGCTCGAAGAGCTGACGTGGGCCGACGAAGAGCTAGAGTGGGCAGAAGATGCGGAGCTGCTGGGATGAGCGCTAGACGAGGTCGAGTGTGCCGATGAGCTCGAGCGAGCGATGGATGAGGATGCCGAGCTGCTGGGGTGAGCACTCGAGGAGCTGGAGTGTGCGGCAGATGAGCTGGAGGGGGCAGAAGATGTGGAACTGCTGGGATGTGCGCTCGACGAGCTGGAGTGGACACTCGAAGAGCCCGACGAAGAGCTGGAGCGAGCTGCAGAAGACGATGCCGAGCTGCTGAGGTGTGCACTCGAGGAGCTGGAGTGGGACGCGGAAGATGAAGGAACACTGCTGAAGTGTGTGCTCGAGCTGGAGCGGGCAGAAGATGCGGAGCTGCTCGGGCGAGCGCTAGACAAGCCGGCATGTGCCGATGAGCTCGAGCGGGCGATGGATGAAGATGCCGAGCTGCTGGGGTGAACACCCGAAGAGCTGGGGTGCGTGGTGGACGACGAGCTGGAACGAGGTGCCGAGGACGAAGCAGTAGAGGAGGAGTGGACACTCGACGAACTAGAGTGCG